AGCTTCAGGATATACCCTGGAGATTTCTTTGGAGTTGTGATGAGATCCTGGATTTGTCAACGAGTGTTTTTTTAATTCATTCACAGGCTGAGGGTGTTGCTGGCTAGGCCAGCATTTATTGCCCATCCCTAATAGCCCACAAGGCAGTTAAGAGTTAACCACATTGCTATTGGTCTGGAGTCAAATGTAGGCCAGACCAGGTAAGGATGGGAGTTTCCTTCCCTAAAGGACATTAGTGAACCAGATGGGTTCTTTCGACAATCAACAATGGATTCATGGTCATCATGAGATTCTTAATCCGAGATTTTTATTGAATTCAAATTCCACCATTTGCCATAGCAGGATTTGAACCTGGGATCCAAGAACATATTGGTCTCTGGATTAATAGTGCAGCAAAAACCCATTAGGCTGTCATCTTCCCTGAAGTTTGTGTGTGTGTGTGTGTGTGTGCGTGCGTGCACAGGTGCCATCAATACTGCACCAGTTGCAGGGAATGCAGCTGCAGTAGCTTTGGGTCTGACAGGGGGGTGGAACAGGATGGAAAATGGAGCTTCCCCTCTCTTCTCTCCAAGCTCCTTCACACGACAGGAGGCAATGTGACAGAACAGCCAAAGCACCCAGCATCTTGGTCTGGAAGTGCATCAGCACTCTCCTGTTAAAGTCCTCATCTAATCTCTCTGCAGCAAAACGTGTCCTCAACCTTGCGCCCCTGGAAATCAAGCCATCCTGATCCACCTGGCCTCGGTGCAACCCAACCAGTGTCCAGCTACATATCACAACCTGAGCTCAATTACATGCTGGCTTTGAGATAAGTAAAGAGCGTATAAGCTTACGGTTGCAATTTTCAGAACAAATTGCATTGTTTGCTATTATACTCTTTCTTCCTGCTGAGGCTCTCAATGCAGGAGCTCATGTGGAGTCTGAAAGAGAGGGTGAAGATAGGCTGAGTGGAACAGAATGCAAGATGTCTGTATAGTCACATGCTAGCAGTAATGCCAATTGCTCTGAACCATGTCACTGAGAGCTCAAAAGGCATCCTGGATACCCTTCCAAATTCTGGTATTTAAGGCCGAGGGGAAATATCTGGAAGTTAGGCCTGAGTGCCAGAGTCCATTATTGGTGAATGATGGATATGAAGTGCATTGTGCAGCAAGGCAGACTTGGGTAGGGAACCTCATGCGATGATGCACTCTATGGTATTGAGCACTCACACAAATAATAATCCCTTTTAAACTGTGTGCAGTCCATTTGTTTAAGTGCGTGCTTAGTTCATTGTTATGTTGCATGTCTAGCCACAAGTGTTATTTATCCCAAAACAAGGCCATGTACCTGCACAGCTTTGCAGGAACATTGTTCACAAGGCAACTGGATTTCTTGTGATTCTGCTGCAAGATCCCTGGGTCCAGACTCAGGGAATTGACCCTCCTGGCCATTTGCTCCCATTCCCCTCGGAGGGTGCTCCTTGAGGGCCCCTTTGCGGATGCATGTTTTTCCGCCCGTCCCCCTGCACCAGCGATGTCTCCGTCACTACAGATTGAAACTGCAGCCTGCCTTTAATAATAGCGAACCAACAGCACCACATGATGCATAAACAACATTCCTGTTGTATACAGAGTTCACCAGTAGCTTTCAGGGGCAAACAGCAGCAGCTTACGCCCACCTCAGTGTAAATGTGCACAGGCATTTTTTACTCACCCATGGCCAAAAAAAGGGCAAATCAATTTCTGGTCCTTTGAGTTTTGTTTCTGAAACAACTGTACAGAAGCTGGTATCCCATACACCAAGTCATGTGCACAGTACATGGTCTCTAACCTGCCAGCTTAGAGCCAGTTCCTAGAATGAGGAGACTCTCTGTTTACATCTGTCAGTCAAGGCTCCTTGACTGGCCCAGGTTAACAGCCCCAATCAAGGATCTCAGTCAACGAGAGCCACCTGGCTCTCGTTCCAATCACTACGCTTTCTTTGTTTTATTGTTCATTATTTTTGTTTACATTTATATCTTACATAAGATGAAATGACAATTTAAGGAAAAAGCAAAATTATTTTGAGGGAAAAGATGATAGTTCTTCATGTTGCTTGCTCGATTGGCTGACTTTTAGATCACCAACTCTGCTTGGAGCTTTCATCCTATGATATCCCACTTCTAAGTGCTCTGCTGCCTTACACTCATCTCTGGTAAGCTCATACTCCAATCATCACAGGCCTTACCATGTGAAATGGAAAATGAAGACAGTCTGTGGAGCTGGAGGAACACAGCAGGCCAGGCAGCATCAGAGGAGCGGGAAAGCTGACATTTCGGGTCAGGACCCTTCTTCAGAAGTCCCGACCCAAAACGTCAACTTTCCCACTCCTCTGATGCT